GCCTCGTTCGATTGCTACTGTATATAATATTAGATTAGCCAAGATAAAATATAAATTTTCTTTTGTGCAGCAGATTCTGATGCCAAATCTAGAGCCACTGACAGAACAACAACGTCTGGACGTTTCGAATCTCAGACAATCTTGTCAGCAAGCGGAAGATGCTTTATCGCAGGGAATGGAGAAACTCCATTACATTCTAGCGGAAACCATCGCCGAAGGCCAACTCGGTGAAGGAAACTACCTTCATCAAATTGGTTCTACCATAGATAAATTCGAAGCTCTAGCTCGATTTGTGGTTCAGGTAAAAAAAAAAAAAAAAAACTATACTTCCGTCCGTATTAGGCCTTGTTTGGTTGGCAAGATAAGTCACGATCAATTTCCAATTTCGTAACATAACTTTATTTAATGTTTGGTTACTGGTTAGTCCAATAACTTTTCTGGCCGGCCCAAATAATTGTGTATTGGATCTTACTTTCGGGTGATCGTATTATTGGCAACCAAACGAGGCCTTAAGCAATATAATAATTTAATAATTTAGATTAATATGTTTTTTTTTTTGATGTAATGAAATGCAGGCGGATCATCTTCGGCAAGAAACTCTGCAGCAGATATATAGAATACTTAGCACACGACAAGCGGCACAAGGCCTACTTGCTATGGGGGAGTATTTGCAACGTCTTCGCACTTTAAGTTCGTGCTGGTCTTCACGCCCGACTGAACAAACCTAGGATGTAATAATCTCAGTTTCACCGGGGAAAAAAAAAAGAAAAAAAGATCAGCCTTGTACCCATTTTTGAGCTGTTTCTTGGACTTAGTATTTGTAAATTAGATCAGATAGATATATTTAAGAGCCACTCTAGAAAGGATACTCTGTTTTTTTTTTTTTTTTTCTTTAGGCTGATTTGTGTATTTAATTGTTTTCTGAGGTATCTATATTAATATTACTGTGTTTTGTAAATTTTCACTGTCTCAATGTGTAAAATTAGCAGCTTGTTATTCAGCATTTCTCTCTCCCTTGTAGGTAGAGGTGAAAATCGAACGGATCGGATTGCATCGGACTTGGCAATTTTGGAGGGAAAAAAAGCCTTTTTTTTTGTTTTCAGAAGGGAAAAACTAATTCTAGTTCTATTAAAAGAAAAATTGGAATAACCGGAAATCGGAATTTCGGAAAATTGGGACGCAAAACTTACTCCAGAAAAAATTAAATTTCAAAAGTCGAGCCAAGAATTTAAATTATGTCTTCATAACACAGTACACAATCACCAATAATCCCGACACGAGCACAAACCATTCTTGAAATGATGGAAACGCGTGGCGTCCCTAACAATTATTTCTCTACCTACCAATTTCGAAATAAATTTAATTGCAGAATGACAGTCGTTGCATACTCTTAAATTCTTCATAATCCTCAAAGTCGTTCCATCGGGAGTACTCATCAATCCAAACGCAATCGCAAGCTTTTCGCTATGATGCTTCAAAATCTCCTCTTTCAACTCTTCGTCAAGATCGTGCAACACCGAAGAAGTTTCCGGAACAAAGCCCATCTTCTTAATATCCTCCCAAATTTCCGCCATTTTCCGATAAACCTCGTCTCTCTGTAAATGAACCGAATCATCCGCACCAAACACATGAACTTCACTCTTTAATTGTAACCAACTAATTCCTTGCTCCTTCTTCACTTTCCTATCCTTCATCGATTTTCTAATTTTCGCAGCTTCTTCCCATTTTCCCGAAGCTGAATATACGTTCGCGAGAGCTGAGTAGGCCCCACTGTTATCCGGTTCGAGCGAGAGCATATTCTCCGCTGCAACCATCGCAAGATCCACGTTCTTGTGGGCCCTACAAGAAGCTAAAAGCGAACCCCAAGCTATTACATCGGGCTCGATTTTCATGTTCTTGATAAAATCTTGTGCTTCGTCTAACAAACCCGCTCGACCAAAAAGGTCAACCATGCATGCACAATGGCTCGAAGTGGGCTCCACTCCATGCAAATCTTTCATCTTTTTGAAATAGCTACGCCCCTTTTCGACTAAGCCCGCGTGAGTGCATGCAGAGAGAACACCTATGTAAGTTATATGGTCCGGTTTAATATCCAAAGACAGCATTTTTTCGAACAATTCCAATGCCATGTCAGCAAGCCCGTGTTGTCCTAAAGCAACAATCATTGAAGTCCAAGAAACCGAATCTCTTCTTCCTTGTACTAAAGCGAACGCTTTTCTTGCACATTCGATATTACCGGATCTTGCGTACATGTTAATTAACGCATTGCTCACAGAAATTGACGAGTCTACCCCTAGCTTCACTGCAGCTGCGTGGATTTGTTTCCCGTGATTTAACGAAGCTAAATTCGAACTCACGCTTAGTATAGCTGCAAGTGTGTAATTATTAGGTAACGGGCCTTCTTCGAACATGGATTTGAAGAGCTTCATTGCTTCGTTATTGTGTCCGTTTTGTGAGTATCCAACTATCATAGCAGTCCATGCAACCACATCACAATTCTCCAACGAGTCGAAAATTTGCCTCGCTGGAGTTATATCTCCAATCTTGATATATCCATCCAATAAAGCTGTAAATGCAATAATTTCAAGACTCGGTTTTCCACGCTTTTGCAATATTTTTCGAGCTATTTCTACGCCACCGCATTTTGAGTACATATAGATCAACGCATTCCCAGCTGCACCTGAAATATCCAATTCGGTTCTAATAATATAAGCATGGATTTGCTTCCCGGTTTCTAATTCCTCGAGATTTGCACAAGAAGACAATACACTCGTCAGAGTGTATCTATCGGGTTTCAGTTTAGACTCTTCGAGCATTTCGGAAAATATCTTCAGTGCTTTGGCATCAAAACCGCACTGATTATAACCTGCAATCATCGAATTCCAAGAAATAATATCGCGTTCTTTCATTTGCTCAAATTGAGCATGTGCTTGTTCCACTTGTCCTGTCTGCATATGCAGCGTTATAATTGCGTTCCAAGTCGAAACATTCTTCAGTTTAATCCGATCAAGCACAGTGACAGCTGTCCTAACATCACCTGTCTTTGCGTACATATTCAATAACGAATTTGATACGGAAACATAACCAGAGAGCCCGAGTTTAACGATAAAAGAGTGGACTTTTTTGCCCACATCCAACGACTCGATCGCTGCACACGAGGCGAGAATGTTAGTGAATGTGTATTCAGTAGGCACAACTTCAGACTTGATCATCTCCAAGAATTTTTGGAAAGCAACCTCGAAACGACCCATTCGATTGTACCCCACAATCAACGAGGTCCAAGAAACAGAATCTGGTTCGGGCATTTCGTCGAACACACAGAGCGCTTCGTGTATCATACCCTGTTTGGCATAAGCGGATAAGAGCGTGTTATACGTAGATACATTCTTCACGGGCATTTTATCGAACACGTAGCGGGCATCGGAAATGAACCCGGATTTCGCGTACGCGTTCATGACATTGTTCATCAAGAACACACCAAAGTGAAGTCCCGATTTGAGTATGAGGGCGTGGATTGGCTTCACTGTAAAAGGGCATTTGGTTTTGATGCCTGTTTGAAGAATTGATGAATATAAATCCGCCTTAGACGTGCAAGGTGGTGGATTATGCATTTTATGGCGGAAGTTCACGGAATTTAGCTTAGACTCCCTCCCTCTCTCTCTCTATATATATCTCGCCGGCGTAGTTGTTTCTCTCATCAATCAAATCCGGCGTAGTTGTTTCTCTCAATCTCATCAATCAAATTTTCGTTTGAAGAAACACAATTTTTAACTTTTATTTATTTTTTTCTTTGGCAGAAAACTGGGCTTGGAAGTTGGAATATTGAAAATTTATAAACTTTAGCCGAATATATATATACCAATGGCTGTTAAATCGTAAATCGAATCGAAAATTAATTTGTTAAAAATTCAAATCGTAAATCGAATAGAATCGTAAATCGTAAGGTTTGATAAAATATTTTTTTGTTACATTTAAGATCTGTTTTGAGATTTGGATCGTTTAGATATGAATCGAATGGTAAATTGTAAATCGTAAGATTTTATTAAACGAACTGATAGCCTCGAAATTTATATTGTTTAATCTTTTCTTATTAAACACATAAGCAGTGGACGATTTAGTCCACATATTTTAACTTTCATAAAATCTAAATTAGATCATGAATTAGACGGGTTATTAATAACGGATTAGTGGTGGATTATTTATTCTATCTCACTAATCCACTAACTTATTATCTTAGTGCTTGTTTTCTCGCTTAACTCATCCGCTTAACTTACGCAGGTAGTGGACGCATTCTGAAGTCTATACTAGTCCACATTGCCAGTTTTCACTGCGGATTTTCGAAGAGAAAAATGAGAGCATTTGAAAATAATAAGAAACTAGTTTGTAATCTAGATTATCTGTTAGTTTGTATTGAAAAAGCTAGACTCGACTGTGCGGGGAATCTGTGTGAGATACCTACATAATCGGGAAGATCGTTTACTTCCTTTTCTAGTGTATTCGTATAATGCTAGCTAGTATTTTAACTTTGAAGGCAGTCCACAAGTATTTACATTTGGATATTAAATAAAACTTCATGTTTGTTTTTATTTATTCGGCTGCATGTTTAAGTGTTATCGCATTTCACATAACATCTCTATTTTTGTTATTTATTATGAATTTGGGGCCATCGATTCTTTCAAAACACTTGGGGTCTAATGAAGCGGCATTTTTCGATATTTTTTGGTTGGGATTGGAATTACATATAAAAAAAGTCTTGAAAATTTTCGATCCGACTTTAATTCCGAAATCCAACCGATAATTGATTAAATCGAAAATCCAGAATAATTATTAACATCAATAACCAGCTGGAAATCCACCCTTTCTAGGGTCACTTACACCAATAAGATGCCCATTCAATTCTTGAACAACAAATTGGCATATTGTTCCACCACTTATGCTTTCAAGAACATGCCCCTTCTTTTTTAGGGCATCCCTTATTTCTCGTCGAACCTCAAAGTGATCGCCCGTCGGTACAGTCCAGTTTTCGTATCGCAACACGTTCGGAATCAGCTGCGTAAAAAAAAAACGACACTATTTAACGTTGGAAAAAACGTTATATATTTTTTTTGTCGTTTTTACATCAAAAAAGCTGCATTTTTTCCGAATAGTAATTTTTCTTTAATGTTTAATTAATTGTTATTTTTTCGAAGGTTAACCTGATGGTAAGATCTTGGAGCTAAAACGGAAGAGAGTGGATCCATTCCTCTTGCTAAATAATTCAGTAGAACTTCCGTTGTGCCTGCGATTATTAGGGATCCTCCACTTGCCCCTACGACGGCTTTTAGTTGTCCATCCTATCACATAAATCGGAAAAAAAAAAACAAAAAAACTTGAGTATTACGACACATAATGACGTCATCGATACCGACTTTAAAATAACGAGTTTATTGTATTTAGTACCCCTGTGTTATACCTAATTTCTAAAAAAAACCTTAAAATAGTATTATAAATATTAGCAAATCAACCCCTCAAATGGTGCGTTTTTAGGGGGGTAGTTTGCTAATAAACCTGAATCATAGGGCGCTATTTCGTTAATATCTACAAACCAAGTTGAAAATATCGAGTAGTATCGTACCTTTACGACAATTGTGGGCGTCATAGATGACAACGGTCTTTTTCCGGGGACGATGAAATTGGCCGGTGCAGGAGGTGGAACGTTTTCTGATTTATTTGCGGGCATTGAGAAATCGTCCATTTCGTTGTTGAGAATTATTCCCGTGGTAGGAGAGAGAAACTTGGAGCCGAAATATCCATTGATTGTGGAGGTCATCGAGACGGCGTTGCGTTGACCGTCCACAATCGAGACGTGGCTCGTTCCGTGATCGTGGATTTGGTTCCACCTATTACGAAGCTAAGAGAGATATAGCAATCTTCAAACTATTTTTTTCAACAAAATTAATTACCGTAAGAAATCTATACGCTTATGATTAGACAGTGACGGAGCAAGGATTTTGTCTTTGCCGAACTACGTATACGAGTTTATTGCATTTAGTAGCCCTGTGTTAAATCGAATTGCCAAAAAAAATCCGATTTTAATTAATTGGCTAAAACCCATTTATAAAATACATTTTTTTAGCACACAAACCTCCAAATAGTGATTTTTGAGGGGGTTGTTTGCTAAATAAATTTAAATTATAGGGTTTTTTTGTCAATATAAAATAAAATGGGGAGTTTTTTGGCAATTAGAAAAAATACAGGGTTGCCGAATGTAATAAACCCCCAAATGTATTATAAGAAAGTTGCACCCGTGGTACCAATTTTCGCGCAACGCGCAAAACGAATAGAAGTAAAAATAACGACTTAGAAATGAGCCGGAATTTTTTTTTGTTCTTACCTCCCGCCATAATGACTGGAATTAAAGGTCGTATTGTCGCGAATCGTTTTCCTAAGCTCGTTAGCAAATTCTTTGGACAACATGTCTTTCAAAACATCCTTGACATCAACGAATTCCGGATCGGCAAGATTCATCCTCATAGCAAATGCGTTTTTTAAAGCTTCAATCTCTCGATGGATCATAAGCGAATCGAGAATGTTAGACAAGCCTCGATAATCAGCCAGAATATTCAATATCTGATTAAACAAAAAATATTAGGGACAAGTAGTAAAATAGTTTGAATTTTTTTTTCCTCATTTCAAAAGGGTTAATTGCATTCAACACCCCCGTGTTTAGTCTAATTGCTAAAAAACCCCACGGATTATAAATATTAGCAAAAATACCCCTACGATGCAATTTTTTTAGCAAACTAACCCCTAAAAAATGCATTATAGAGGAATTTTTGCTAATATTTTTACCACGGGAAGTTTTTTTTAGCAATCGATATAACATAGGGGTACTAAATGCAATAACTTCATTTTAAAAATTCTCGATCAAAATCACTGACTAAATTATTTTCCGGTACTTACTAGCGACAACGCAGCACCACCGGAAGAAGGGGGAGGCATGCTAAGTATTTCGACTCCCATAACATTTACCGAAACCGGTTCTCTAAATTTCACTTTGTACTCCTTCAAATCTTCCATTATTAATATTCCTCCATTATTTTCGACATCCTTAACTAAACTAGCTCCGATTTTTCCACCGTACAACGCCTTTGCTCCGTGCCTCGATATTTCCCTCAACGTTTTAGCAAGTTGCTTGTTGTAGCATATATCGCCCGATTGCAATAAAGTACCGTTTAATGTGAATATGTCGGAGAGTCCCTTGTCTGCCATAATTCCCGATTCGGTTTTCGTCATCTGCATATGGAGAAACGGGGAAATCTTGAATCCGTTTTGGGCGATTTTGGCGGCTGGTTTTACGAGGCGTTTCCAAGGGATTTTTCCGTGTTTTTTCCATGCATGTTGAAGGCCTGCGAGTTCGCCCGGAACTGCTATGGAGAGGGGCCCACTTGCTTTTGAATCGGCATTTCCTTTGTACATGTTCTGCAATGAAAAAAAAAACAAACGAGCTTTTGAGACTATGTTCATCGAAATTCAGGGTAGAAACCCGATAGATCAGATTGCAATTAGCCTGAAAAAAATCCAATTTTTTTTTAAGTGAAAAATTAATTACAGTTTCATTCAAAAGAAATCGGAAAAAATCAGAAAAAATCGGAAATTGGAAGAAAAAAATTTGCTCCAAAATCGAAAAATTTCGGACCTGAATCGGAGAAATTCAAAAATTCAATTTTTTTTTTATAATATTTAAATTATAAGTGTAATTTTCAGAAAAGAATCGGATCTTTTGGAATATTTTCAAATTTTAAAATCGGATTAGAAATTGGAATCCCATATATATATATTCCAATTCCGATAAAAAAAATTTGTCGGAAACGTCGAAAATCAGATTTTTCACAGTTCGGAATGAAAAAGATTTTACCTTGGAAGCGAGTTTTGGAGCAGTTTCTCTCATATCATAAACTTCCGTTTTCCCATCAGCCGATCGGACGAGCATAAACGCACCACCACCAATGCCGCTAGAGGCAGGGCTGACAACACCTAGGCAGAGGGCGGCAGCCACCGCTGCATCGACGGCATGGCCGCCTTCTCTAAGCACGTCTCTCCCGATAGTGGAGCATTGGCCGTGATCTGTGGCCACGATTCCTCGGCGGGCAACGATTCTCCGATCGCTTCTTTTATCGGCTACGGTGGAACTCGGGCTCGAAATGAAAGTAGACAACAAAACGAACACATATAGAGGGATCTTCAACGACGACATATAGCTGCAGAGGATTATTATTACTGGTAATGAAATTCCGACAGCGAATCGATTACGAAAAAACTAATTGATTCCACTTTTCAATTAAAAATATTAATCCAACAAAAATCTACATACATCAAATATACAGAGAATTCAGTACAAAAAGTATATGAACTCAATAGAACAGTGAGATTTAAACACAGAAATCAATTATGATCCAATGTCAGATGTGTGTGTGTGTGTGTGTGTGTGTGTGTGTGTGTGTGTGTGTGTGTGTGTGTGTGTGTGTGTGTGTGTGTGAGAGAGAGAGAGAGAGAGAGAGAGAGAGAGAGAGAGAGAGAGAGGCTCACTTACAATAAACAGTCTTTTTTCAAGGATGAGAGAGAGAGAGATATCACTTACAAATTACAAGAGTTTTTTATCAAGGATGAGAGAGAGAGAGAGAGAGAGAGGGTGACTTACAAATTACAAGAAACAGTCTTTATTCAAGGATGATCAAAATAAACAGACAAGTGCTAGAAATACTGAGATGGGCGATAAAATTAACGTTGTAAATATGTTAGAGTTTGTGTGAAGGAAATATCCAGTCCAAGAAAATGGACAAAAAGAAGAACTTGTTGATATTTTTCTTCTTGTAAAACTCACGTGTTTTTTGATATTCTGTCACGTGCGAAATGACCCTTTCTCATTGTGACGCATGCAATTTATATACGACTTTTTATTTTATCTTTACATGCACGGAATATTTGCCTGTATTTGGTGTTCTTGTTTCTTTCTCCGTCTTCTTAGGGTTTGTTTATGCTAATGAAATACATTATATAAATATTAGGTCAATTACGGCCATCTGAGGTAATGTTAGATTACGAAAAAAACCTTTTGTTTGGGTGATTACAACTACTTCCTCAGTTATGAATCTTTTTACATGTCCACCCTTGCAGTGTCAAATTTAGTGGAATCTTCTGGATTACATGGAATATTCTATAATTTATACTCGTTTTACCCTATTCGAATTCCACATTTTGAAACAAGATGATCATAAGATGTGTCCATTGGTTTGGAAATATCAGATTGTAGTGCATCAGATACTGCATTTCTGCACGAAACGAGTACGGACTAGAGAACATGCCACGGAATCTAGAAGATTATGTTGAATTTGACACCATAAGGGTCGACGTGTAAGAAGATTCATAGTTGATGGATGATCGTAACTACCCAAACATGAAGGGATTTTTCGTAATTTGACATTACCTCGAAGGTTGGCCGTAATTTACCATCGTGGTGTGGTACATCGGCCATATCAATTTATTATGAAAAGGACTTGTGACGCGCATTTGACCATTTACCAACCAAAAAATTAAATATAGTGCAAACTTTAAATGGAAAAAAAATAATTTATATTTTAACATATTACATTAATTAGACCTTCCATTTTAGATAAATCACATTTTCATTAATTCAACATAAAAATATATATATATATATATATATATATATATATATATATATATATATATATATATATATATATATATATATATTATGAGATCATATATTAGGTCCTTTGTCTTCCACTCACTGTCTCTTTCAACACGATGCCTCCTCGATTTAAAGAATCGCATTGTGTCCGAAAGAGCTCTATATTGAAACCCCCACCATGAATAGTTTTCGAAAAACAAAATGATCGGGTTTAACTGCACATGAAAAGGAAAAGGAAAAACGAAAAACGAAAAAAACCCATTTGGGCGTAAAGACGGTTTTTTACGTTTTGTCACTCAAATTTTGATTTTATTCCCTTCATGTTTAATTTTTTTACTCGAAAGTATGATTTTCATAGTAGTGTTACCTTTAGTACAATAGTAGGTGCCGTAGAAGACAACGACCTTTTCAACGGCTCGACGAAATTAGAAGGCGACGGTGGCATAAATGAGCTCGATGAAGGAACGGAAAAACCCGATATCTGATTATTGAGAAGTATTTGTTTCCGTGATCGTGTATTTGTTCCCACCTGTAAGTAATCACCAATAATCACAAATCAATTACCAATAATTGCAACGAATGAGGACTATATAATATAGTACTTACTTGGAACAATAGTGAGACGAATCAAAAGTTTGATTGTCGTTTAGCCTGCCTGACGAGCATAAATCCACCGCCGCCCACACTGCTAAACGCGGGGTCCACCACACCCAAGCAAAACTCAGCATCAACAGCATGATCACCGGCAAAAAGACCATCTCAAGCCACTTTAGAACATACCGCTTTGTCTGTAGCCACTACACCCGAACGTGCTTTTGACCATCCTCCCTTTGCATGACGATAGTATAACCGATATAAAAACGAGCACGAACAGTCCCAAAAAAACGAGACAATAATGCTGTAAGAACTGCAAATCAAGAAAGTCTGAGAAAGAGGAAGCACACTAAAACAGAAGTTAAAATACAGATTTAATGCTGATAATTTTTTTACCCATTCGATTGAGCTTTCGTTTTTTCGCCTTTCGGGGATGGTCTTATCAACACGTACATTTTTATCATTAGTATGTGATGGGAAAGGATAAGTCTGCTTTGAGTTCGAGAAAATCTCCATTTTTACCTTTTAATTTCTTGAGGCTTTATCAGATGAATATAGACGAATTTCGTAATGAGATCAATAATCAGGTCAATTCCCAGTCGCAGGAAAATATAATCTTACAGGAAATCAAGATTTTTATTAAAACACGAGTCAAAAAAAATTCAACGATCTTCGGAAATTGAAACTAAATTCATAGATGAAAAATGAACAAGGAATTGAGGGAACCAACTTGTCACTGACCAGCACACGATGAATTCATAATATTTACACAAGCTAATATCTTGCATGAAAAAGAGTTGGTCGATAACGTAATTTACTGCCGAACGAAGATATAATTCTCTATAGCTTTTGCTATCTGAAAATCGGAGCATGTCTTTAAGATGACCGAAAAAACTTGAAGGATGAAAGCTCTACTACCTGTGAGAATAAAAACATTTTCACTAATTAGAACAACAAAACTGCTCAAAATTTCAATAGACAAAACACACATTTCGGTTTTTTTTTTTTTTTTTTTGCAAATTCTGTATTTACACGTATAGATTTACTCGGTTCAAAATATGATGCTTCGCCACTCTTGAAAATCTAAGAAAACCAAAATAATACCTTATAATATGGTCCACCGAAACTGTCTGAATAATCGAGTACTATGTGATTACCACTACAAAAATTCAGTTAACTCTTTGCCGTTTCAGTTGCAGCTTTTTGGCGTGACCCGTCTTTCCTATTAGTAGACTTCTTTCCGTCATGAAAAGACCCAATTGCCCCAAGAGCATCAAGAAAGAATCTTTTATTCGGGATAATTCCATCTTTATCCATACACACCACCAATTTCCCTAACAGCTCTTTCATATCAGCTTTCGTATACGCCTTATAAAGAAGCTTGTAAGTAGAAGAATCAACCCGGAACATTCTAGAAGAACGCGCATTGTCGAAAAGCGCGTCAGCTTCCATAGGCAAACCGTTCATGCAATACGCATCGAGCATCGCATTAAGGGTCGATATTTTCTTCTCGTTTTCAGAGTCAACCATTTCGTCAAACACCTCTCTAGCCCTCGAAACACGGTCGCAGTATCCGTACATTGTGATAAGACACTCGTAAGTAACAAAGCTCGGTTTATACCCCATTTCGGTCATTCTCTTAAAGACCAAATCGCCCTTCTCCCTAAGCCGCGCTTTTCCGTAATTTGTAATCATTGAATTAAACGTAGGGAGAGTCGGTTTCTCCTTCGATCGAAGCAAGCTCGTGAAAACCTGCTCCATCTTTTCGAATTCTTGCTTTTTACCATACGCATCGATTAAAGAATTGAAAGTGATTGTATCTGGTTTTATCTGATTGCTCTTCATCTTGGCAAGCACAAACTCCATTTCCCTAATCATCCCATTCTTCCCATAGGCATCCATCACACCGTTGAACGTAAAAATATCGGGAGTGACAATGCTTTCTTCGAGATCTTTGAACAAGGTGTTGACTTGGTCAACGTTCTTGGCCTGCGCGAAAGCTCTTAAGAGAATGTTGTAAGTGACTATACTAGGTTTGCACCGCTCCATGGATTTCATCTTTTCGAAATAACCGAGGGATTTCGCCAGCGCTTTGGATTTGTCACGAGAGTGAAGGTGGGCTGTGATGAGTGAGTTGTAAACGGAGGTGTCGGGCCTACAGCCGCTGTTACGCATCTCGGAGAAAAGCCACATTGCCATACGGGTTTGCCCCTTTTTACCCATGACGGAAATTAACTTCGAGTAAACCCCGTTGTCTGCAATGTACCATCTCTGCTTCTGCATCCATCTGAACACCTGAGACATTTCATCAAACACCTTTGTGTCAATGCGGATACATTCCAAAAAAACATACAACAATCATACAAATTCAAGGGCAAAAAGGGAAATTAACCTCAAGGCACTGGAGCCATTTTTCAGTCTTGCCGAGCTCCTCAAACAGTAGAAAACAGTGATCGGTTCGCACAAATTTGACATACTTATCTAGGGTATTAACCAATGGTTGCTTATCGCTGAAATTCCTCATGATTAACTTAACCAAATCCTCTGCTTCGGAGGAGGGAGAAGAGGTGCTTCTCTTGTGGGTCTTTCTCGGACCCGGGTTTCTCTCGGGTCGGGCTGAAACCCAGCTGCACATTCTGATTGTTGAAGGCGGGCATGGGTGACGTGTTAAGGCGCGAAATGGGGTTGAAATGTAGGTGAATTTTGGGGTGTGGGGGAGATGCAGAGAGGAAGAAGTGAAAGGAGGAGTGGCTGAGGTCATTTTGGTAAATTTATTGGGTGGCGGTGCTGATGGTGGTGGCTGAGCCGCCGTGTGTGCTTTTTATCCGGATTTTTTGGTCGCAGAGATGAAATTTGGCGGAAATGAAACGAAAAGTGCTACACTTATTATTATTTTTATTAAATTATTTTTTATTATATAAAATTAAGTAAAAAATATTATTATTTTTATTAAATTATTTTTTATTATATAAAATTAAGTAAAAAAAAATATATAAGTGGATATAGGAATTGAACCTGACGTGAATCGAACACGCAACCTTCTGATCTGGAGTCAGACGCGCTACCATTGCGCCACAGATCCACATTGATATAATCCGACGATTAACTCCATAAGTATTAATTTTAAACTCTTATTTGTTGGCCAATTTATTCCACCCTACACCCGGTGATAAACACCGGGTGGGTCTTCTGCTGCCACGTGTCCCTTTTTTGTATTTTATAATAGATTATCCGCTAGGGTTTACCTTTAGGGGTTTTAGAAAAATAAAAAAAAGAACACGTGGCAGCAGAAAGACCCGCCCGATGTTTATCACCAGGTGTAGGGTCGAAGGAACCAGTTCGACCCTACACCCAATGATAAACACCGTGTGGGTCTTCTGCTGCCACGTGTCTCTTTTTTGTATCGACCCTACACCCGATAATAAACACCGTGTGGGTCTTCGGCTGCCACGTGTCTCTTTTTTGTATTTTATAATAGATTCCCCACTAGGGTTTACCTTTAAGGGTTTTAGAAAAATAAAAAAAGAAACACGTGGAAGCAAAAGATCCACCCAGTGTTTATCACCGGGTGTAGGGTCGAAGGAACCCCAAACGTATATACTAGTATGAAAGTTTTGTATTCATTAGTCCCAAATAATTAGTCAAAATTAATTATTCGCTAACATAATAAATAAAACAATTTTTTTTTTTACTTTTTTAAAATATGAAGCTAAGCTCAAACTCAACTAAAAAATAATTAAATATGTGTAGAAAATCAAGCTACTCAAACTCAGTTCGTGTTCGATTAATCTCACTCGAACAAGCTTATGCATTCACCTCGATTCAATTCGTTTATCCCCGTACTTCACTTCGAAGTCCATTCTCTCTTGTATCGAAGTAAACCATAAATAATTGCATCCCCACCTTGAAATTAAATCAAACGAGGTTGCACTAACAAAAATTTAATCATGTTCTAAACTGAAACACCAATAATTCAACTTACTTCTTTCTTTTCAGAAGTATTGACGAGTTGACCGTTATAAGCCAACATCAATTCTTCAGCCTCCTTTTCGAACCGTAAAATATACTTGTCCAAGAAATTCTCGTTCGACATGCACATTGCCGAGTAAAAACTCGAACCCTTACTCAAAAGTCCCAGCGACTTCAACTTCTCCACAACTCTGTACCTCGGGACAACTCTTTTCTCGGCGCTGCACGACAAAATCACAGGGTGCTGAACGAGCAACGTTTTATCAATCCCGAGAGTGCTCAAGTAGAGTTCGAGTTTCGATCTCAACATCTCTTTCGAGGTATGGAAAGCTATAGGCGACTTCCTAAACATTGAAACAATCTCCGCCTTGGAGAATCCGAAAGCCCCAAAAACCTCGAATTTGCCACTCAGTGTCTTGACACTCAACCTGCTAAGAGTAAGAACACCGTAAACCAACATTCTTGAACCCATCGTAAAATCCATATCCAACGCTCTTTTAACAAGCTGCAAGATTTTCTCCTTACGCAGAACGAAAAGACCAGGGTTTTGAAGTAACGTAACGGATAACTGGGACCCACAAACCCCACAGCTCTTCAAATAATCAATATTCGCTTCCAAATTCGATTTGCTGCTGGAAATTCTATTGGATCTCATAAGTATCCGACACAAGTCATCTTTAACTTGTTCTTCACTTCTGTTTTTGCCGTCGCTCGTAAGGACTTCCTTGATCAGAAGAACCGACGGCTTCAGTGATCTGTCCAAACTGTAGTTTAAGATATTAGGGTTTCTTGAGATGACATCACCTATACGAGGTCCCGATAGACCCAGTTCTTGCAAGAAGACGAACTTCGGCTTGAGGGTTTTTTCCACGCTAGCAAAGAGCAGACTAGGCATATGACTGGCTATATACTTGACTTGTGCATCGGAAAACCCGACGCCTTTAAAGAAAAGGACCGTTTTTTCTGGCTTTTCGAGAGATTTGATGTATGAATATTGGTTGGTGACTGTGAGTGCTCGGGATTTTGAGAATTTTAAGGTGGATATTAGGTAGTTGCTCAAAACAGAGGTTTTAGCTTCTTGCTTTGGAGTTGAGGAACATGCCCTGTCGTGAGAGAATGCGAAAGAAGAAGGGATCAATGAGAGAAGTGATTTGTCGGGATTGGATTGACATTTTTGTGATAGTGGTGAATACAAGAGAAGATATTTGGATCGAAAACCGAGTATTAATTTCCGCATCATTTTTTTTTCAATAAGAACAGATTCTTAGGTTGAATAGGCTGAAAAAAAAAATCCGAATAAGTTTACGATAAATGTGTATCCTGCAGCAAGAAAAAGGAAAAAAAAAAATAGCTCAAGAGTTCGAATTTAGACATAGTTACACACAGTAAATCGTCGAAAACAAACAGGCAACATAGTCCACTACATCTTTGAAATATATCAGGTTCTTAAAATTGAAAACTTAATTAAATATAGGGTTCAGAATCAAATGAAAGAGAATTATCAGCACAAATTCCTAACCCTACGAATTTCTAATATGCCCTAAAAAATGTCAGGAAAACTGATACTATCCAATTTCTAGAAACAAATTTCATCAACGCATAAATGTTCAATGGTCGAACCCTAATATTCACAAAATAAAATCAACTGAAACCGAAGAATAAACCTGAAAATTGGTTCACGAATTCCGATTCAGTTCGAAGTTCGAACCCTAACACCAAAATTTCTCCAATGCATAAATAATTCATGACTGAGTTGTAGCGGTTACAGTAAATTGACCGTGTGACAGAGAATAATGACAAACCTGTTGGCCGCCGGGATGGGTGGCGCCGCCGTTGGGCACGCTGCCGGAGAATACCACGTAGTTACACACTCACACTGCACATAAACTACATGAAATGATGAAATAAAACTGGGTTCATAGGGCAGAAGAAACTTTTTAGGAAAATTTACTTAATAACCCCCCCTAAAACAATTTGGGTAAATTCCACTTTTCTCATTTATACTTTGGCTTCGGTGTCACTTTACTCCCTCTACTTTTGATTGACATCGATTTGCACCCTGCACTTGAAAATTTATCTCAATGTGGCATTCACTCTTAGTTGTCAGACATTTGACATTAACACCGTTTGGTCTAAGCTCTGAAATTACAAAAAACCCACCCCACCCAGTTTAAATAATTATTTAAAAAAAATAGAAAAAAAAAATTAATAAAAAATTCAACAACGAGAAAGCATAGTCCGATACGGCAGCCACAATTTATTTATTTATTATTATTTTTAAATTATTTAAATTGGGAATAGTGGTTTGTTTGTAATTTTCAGACTTAGATCAAACGCAGTTGAGTCAAATGTTTGAAAACTAACGGCAAGGGACATATTGAGACAATTTGTGCAGAGGGGGCAAATTGATGCAATCGAGAATAGAATGGGATAAAGTGATACTGAGTCAAAATACAAGGGGGAAAGTGGAATTTACCCAAACAATTTTTATATCTAAACAAATTAGGGTAAATTACGGCCAACCCCTGAGGTAAAGTGAAATTAGGAAACATTCCCTCATATTTGGATAATTACAACTACCCTTCAACTATGAATCTTCTTACACGTCCATCATTATGTGTCAAATTTAACAGATTTTTCTAGATTTCGTGGAATGTTCTCTAGTTTGTAATTGTTTTATAAATATATAATTTCGGATGAACCACAATCTGATATTTAAAAAAGTAAAAAAAAAATATATATTTTGATCATCTTATTTTAAAATGTGAAGCATTAATGGAGTAAAAACGGGTACCAGTTGAATAATATTCCGCATAATCTAAAAGATTCCACAAACTAGAGAATATTCCTCTACTGCGGCAATAAATAAACAAACAAACAAGAATTTGCAACTCTTCACAACAAATAAAAATCAGATTTGGGACTCATGTCAATTAATCAATGGATTAAGCATCCCTTTACACAAAAATCGAAGGGAAGAAGAAAGAGCTAAAAAATATAATTAAAGATCAGCCCAAATTAGCAGGCAAAACACGAAACAATTTAAAAAATTAAAAAAAAAAAAAAAAGAAAAAAAAAAGAAACAATGAACAACAAGTCACAGAAAGAAAAAAGAATTAATAATAATTCCAAAAGGCACATATACAAATTCCCCTTTTCCTCTTCCTTCTTCACACCGATATCAAACACAGATCATCAAGCACTTGTCGAATATTAGGCCTCTCATTTACAGGAAGAATGCACCGCAACGAAACCGCCAGCGTTTCATCCATAGCTCTCGAGTGCTGCTCTTCGCCGCCAGCCATATCTCTATCGATGCAATCCATTCCCCTCCCCTCTTGATCACAAAGCCTAACCCAATCCGTTAAATCAACGGCTCCCGATTGGCCGGAGATAATATCCCCCGCGCTTCGCCTCGTCAGAAGCTCCATCAAGATCACACCGAACGCGTACACGTCAGCTTTGAAAGTGGGTCCCGGTTTTGCTGACGTGGCTAGCTCCGGGGCCCGGTAGCCGAAGGCGCCAAGGTTGAGTAGTTGCTCTGCGATACCTGCAGTTGTCATTAGGCGGTGGAGCCCGTAATCGCTGACGTGGACGGTGTAGTCGGCGGGTGGCCCTGCAAGGAATATGTTCGTGGGCTTTAGATTTCCGTGAGGGAGGCCTCGGTCGTGGAGGTACATTAGACACCTGGCGACTTCGACTGCCACTTTCAACCTTTGAGTGAACGATAATGGTGAGTATCTTCGAGGCGTTGTCTCTGCGTAATAAATAAAAAAAAGTGCGTAAATATAGGAAAAATATTCTGCAAATGTAGAAAGGATCACAGGATATAAATCATATATGTCGATTCTATTGCATTTTTTACCCATGTGTTATATCGAATTGTGTTATTAATATTAGCAAACACCCCTCTTAGAATGATTTAATGAGTACATGCAATACCACCCCTACCCCCACCCCGACCGAAAAAATAAAAGTCGAAGGTGAATTGTTGTAATCAATATGATGGTTAAACGCATGTAGGGCCTCGTCTGGTTGCCGATATATGATTAGCCAAAATAACTTTATGTGATCTTATGAGAACCCAATTATATAATACAAAACCCCCGCTCAATTAGCCGAGCTTAATTTTCCACAAAAATCAAATAAACTGAAATGCTAAATGTCGTTTCAATTTTAGCAATACAGTTCCAACTTCAAATGTGATTTTGACCTTTTCAAGTTCAAATTTGGCAAAGCTCAAACCACCAATGTTGTAGTCCTGTGAGTTGGCTTTTTAATTCAATTTGAATTAGCTAAATTGGATGCCGGGTGAGAGTTTTATGCATGAATGAGTTACGATCTGAATCTCAGAAAACTCAAAACATCAAAGTTGTAACCAGTGTTCATCCATTCATTCATGCATAACTCTCTTACTCGGCATCCAATCTACCAGATTCAAATTGGATTAGCAACCCAACTCAAAGAACTAAGAATTTGGAGTTTTGAGTGTCGCCAAATTCAGACTGAAAAAGGGGGTCAAGATCCCATTCGAAGTAGAAACGGTACCAATACAATTTGAAACAACATTTAGCACCTCCCTATTTAAATAATCATGATTAATCTTCCCAACCAAACAAGGCCTAAGGATATAAAAAAAAAAAAAAAAAGATAATTACTTACCATAAAGATGTAACGCCAAGCTATCTCCCAAAACGTAGTCCGCTAAAACAAGCCGTTCTTGCTCTCTCGGTCCCCAATAATAAGCGCGCAAGGATACAATATTCTGATGCCTAAAAGATCCTATCTTTTTAACTTCTTTTGCAAAATCTTTCTTGTTTTTGACCAATCCAACCCTCAACCACTTCACAGTCAGCATATGCCCGTTATCTAGAGTAGCTTTATACAAAGTCCCATGGCTACTTCTGCCCAGCACCTCTGCAGGAGCTCGAGACAACTCCTCAGCTGTGAATGTGATTGAAGCATCCAAGAAGAAAAGTTCTCCAGCCAATCGATCCGGTGAGTACACGTCTAAAGCGACGGCCTGTTCTACAGTGTCGATGAAACGGGGCGAAGAACCTATTGGAGAGCCCGGAGAGGATTTTCTTCCGGAAGTTGTCGGATCTTGTTGACCGTGACTCACAGGGGCTGCAATGTGCTCGATAATTTCGGTATTGGACTCCATTTGCCCGGACAAAGATCTTGAATTTGAAGTCAGTAAATGGTCGTTGGAAAAGCTCAACGAAGTTGGTGGCGGCTCGGTGGTGCTGTGGAAGTTGAAAAGCGAAGGGCGGCTGAATCTTCCTACTTTGGCGTGGTCCCCCCCGCCAGCTGTTGAGCCGCGAAAATCTTGAAAACGGGCCCTACGATATGCTATGAGAACAAAGGCGATCATCAAAGCAGCTCCGACAGATGCAACAATAATGGCTATTCTGATGTTGGATTTAGAGCCTTTATGACGTGCTTGATCTTCAATTTGTTTCGGAACATTTGAAGAGGAAGAATGACGGTGTTCGAGTTCGTTGTTTCCAGGTGTGAACGAAGAATCAGGGAAACTTTTCAAATTTTCCGGAATTTTTCCTGATAAATTATTGTAAGCCAAAGCCAAGAACTTCAAACTGGATGGTAGTTTATCAGGAATTGGACCGTTGAAATTGTTGTGGGATAAATCAAGAAACTCTAGGACGGTGAGTTTACTTAATTCACTAGGCAGAATTCCGGAAAGATTATTTCTTGCAAGATTTAGCAGCTTAAGCCTACCCCAGTTACCTATATCGGAAGGTAATCCACCTGTCAAGATATTATTGGACAGATCTAAAGACTCCATAGGTGGAATAGAAGGGAGAACCAATAGCTCGCTAGAATGAGATCCGTCGAGAGGAATCGGTCCGGATAAATGATTGCCCGACAAGTTCAAATTTGTTATGGTCATTGAAGAAAAGAAGCTGTATGGGATTGGACCATCGAATTTGTTGGAGCTGAAATCAACCATGTTGAGCTTTGGGTAGGAGCCAAATGCCGAAGGCAGTTGCCCCTCTAAGGAATTGTTTCTAATGCTGAGGAAAGTCAACCTTTGGAACTGAGTTAAATTGGGAATGCTTCCGGTCAAACCGTTGGAGCTCAAATCCAAAATTACCAGATTGCCATTCCAATTTTGCAGAACAGATATGTCATCGGATATGTGGTTTCTACTCAGGTCAACAGTCTGACAATTTTCCAATGATGGAGGCAGTGAGCCCGAGATTGAGTTTGATGAAAGGTTGAGAGTCACCAAAGTTGTTGAGTTGATTTTCGGGATGGAACCTGAAAATGCAAATGAAATAATTAACGATTTTTTTCCAGCGAAAAGGCTGACATATAACAATCATAGAAAATGGACAAAATCGAACTATAATTCAAAGAGATATACAAAAAAGTTGATTCTTGAAAGATAGTGTTTCTTTAATGGACATATGAAACGGCAGTAAAAATTGGATTTTCTAGTTTCAAATAAAATAACGGTCCTCACATGCACTCGAGGTAATATGAGCAATAGGTCCATGCACGGCATCCATGTATAGAAACACAATATTGTCCATTTGCCTTTCATAAAACTCGGCATTTCATATAAATACCAGTAATGCAACAATATGACTATATCAATCAATAATTACATACAAAATAAGAGCTAATTTATTCAGGAACACAACTCAAAAACACTACAATTATGTGAATTCCGCTTTTAATCTGTACAGCTAAGGTACAACGCATAAATGTAGCACCATTGTTAAAGATCTAATGTTTCTCAGTCAGGCTTTCTAGTCAAGAATCCCATGACACGATCGTCGAATTTAGATTGAAATACATACTCCATCTGACAAAAAGTAATTACGTTATTCACTTCGATAAAGTCGGAACCTTTTATCACTTTCTTGCTCAAAACTATTGGTATCCCTGCGCCCATCCACGTGCTATGACAGAAAATTGGTCAAATGGAAAGGGAAATGCCTAGCATGCTGATTTTGCTTACTTTCTTGCTCAAAACTATTTAAAGAAAAATAAATTAAAAACCAAGTTCCACGTCATCAGCAACATAATAAACTACATGCTGAACATAACTTACTATGTTGAACACGTAATGATGTTACCAGTGGCATATTGACACGTAGGCCAAGACGGGATTGCAATATAATTTAATTTGGAGAATTATCACAAAGATGGAACAACTAATAATGAGCTGTATTGGTACTCGACGTAATAGCTGCGATCATCTCATGTCCGACGATAACATTTTTGCCACAAAAAAAGTAGTTCTTTAAACTTTTCTTTAACCAAATATTTATGTACGGGTAATGAGGCCAGAACAACTAAAATTACACAAGTAGCAACTAAAACAAGAATGGCTAATAGAAACAAAGAAACAGATTATATTCGACTCGAAAAAAAAAAAAAAACAGAAGCAAATAAACTAGATCGCGCACGATTGCAGATTTATATAGAATGAATCGGTAATTGACACGTGCCTCCTCATAAAGGGTCGACAAAATCACGAGTTAGTTAATGTTCATTCACGTAAAACACAAGACAGCATATAAATCAGAGAAGTCCACGGGTTCTTAAAATTCGTAACCATAGCGTAAACACAACCGACCTATCGAACTTAAAGCAAAAAACAGAAAACAAAATTAAAATCGAGGCCTCACCTGAAAATCCATTGACACTGAGATCCAACTCTACCAATGGAACAGCCCCCTGCAAGATTCCCGCAGGTAAAGACCCGAAAAGCTGATTACTTCCGAGCCTTAGCACATTAAGATTCGGCAACTGCTCAAACTCCGGCAGTTCCCCGGTGATTCCATTATCGCCCAAATCCAAAACCCTCAAGTTTCGAAACAACCTCATTGCATCACTCCCCCAAAACCCGCCCCCTAAATTATTCTCACTCAAGTTTATGTACTGCACTGTATTAGCCAAACTAGACACATTCTCCACACTCAAATCCAGGGACCCGAAAAAGTTATTTCTGCTCAAATCCAAGTATTCCACATTCCTCAGCTCAGGAATCAGTTCCTTCGCATCCCCCTGCAGCTGATTTGAATGCAAATCCAACACTTTCAGCTGCTGCAAATTGCGAATTCCGGTAGGAAATCCTCCGGAGAAGTTATTGGTCGACAAATTGAGGGAATGCAGCGCCCATAGATCAGTCAGCCGAGCCGGAATGGGGCCGTAGAATTGATTGCCGGAGAGATCAATTACTTGGAGAGACGACATTACGCCGAGGGTCGGCACGAGGCGGCCGGTGAGCGAGTTTCCGGCGAGGGTTAGGTTCTGGAGGAACTTGAGGGGAATGAGAGTGCTGAATTTGAGGTCTCCGACGAGTCCAAGGCGGTCAAGGGCAATTGCCACCACGGACGAGGTGGCGGCGTCGCAGACGACGCCGTGGAAGTCAGCGGGGCAAGGCGAGAAGTTCGATGGGGAGACCCAGGTGGAGAAGATTCGGTTCGACGGGTCAGATTTGATGCCCTTTTTGAACTCCAGCAGTGATCGGACTTCTTCCTCGGCGGCGGAGACATGGCGGTGGAGGAGGAGGAGGTGAAGGAGGAGGAGGAGAGAGAAAGTGGGGAAGAGAGAGAGAGACATTTGTGAAGCTGCAGCAATGGCGGTTGCCTAGGGGTTAGGCATTTGGTGGGGGAGCAAAGGGGGAAGGAGATGGGGAAATTAGGGTTTTTATATTTGGGGGAAATGGGGAAGATGAGCTGTTCTCTCTGTGTGTATGTATATGTGTATCTATAGGTTGTGTGCAGGACTGAGTTTTTATTATTTTATTTATTTATTTCATTATTTTTTTGCTTTCTCAGTGCTCTGTGTGTGAGTGTGTGTAGAGAGAGAAAGTAGGGTTTTTATATATGGAAAATGAGTTGTAATAATAAGAGAGGAAAATGAGTGAAAAAGGTAGATATATGAAAATTTTGTTCTGTGGAATGGGTCCCACAACTACCACTTGATTTATAATATTATTATATTTTGCTTTTCTATTTTTATTTTTTTGAGAATTATTATAATTTATAAATATGACAATTTTTTTAATATACTTAATAAAAATAATTAATATATTAGAATTCATCTTACTAATTGTTAATGTGAAGATCAAATTTATTTTGTTCAACTATAGTTAAAATTTGATTGATATCTTTCCATAACGAAATTAAAATGCACATATTATTCAGTTTCCCAATTTATATCACTAATCATGCACGAAAAAGCGAATTTTTTCGATTTCAGAAAAATATAAATTATGATGACTCAATGACCTGTAAGAATACCGAACTTAGGCATTTATATCACTGTTCATCTTATTTATGAAAGTTGTTGCAAGATTCAAATAAGAAAAAAGAGACGTGTAAATTTGAAATATAATGCAGAATCAACAAAATAAATTATTTTTATTTTTCTTCCATTTTTGGTTTCTAAGTGAAAGTAATTGCAAACCCTACTCTTTTTAGCGGTCTTGTATATTATCTTAGGTGAAATATATTGAATAGTTTTCAACTTTTTATTAAGTTAAAAAAAAATCTATTTTTTGTTATGCGCAGCCAAATATATTTTTACATACGAATGTAGTAAAATATAGAGAGAGAGAGAGAGAAATATGTGATGATAGGATATAACTCGATAAAGTTTATCGAACGTGTTTACAGAACAAATGCTTTGTATCCACGAGATGGAGTTAATGTAATTTAGTAGTAATTATATTATGTTTATTATTTCGGAGCAAATCATTATTCATTACCAATAGGTAATAAATCTAATTGCTAAATAAATAAACAAACAATAACTACTGTAATTAATAGCATCCCAAATGAAGTAAAAGTAATTTTCCAAAAATGGGTGTGACAGGAAATAACAATAGAGTGGGAGTGTGTACTGTGAGCCGGGGTGGAAATTAGTATAATTTTCGTTAATTACTATTCGAAATTTTGCTATTTTTAAACAATATTTTCTCATTCTAAATTCCAGAAAAACTCCGGATTCCATTTTTTTTCGATCGAAATGGAATTCCGATTGTAAAAACTTAATTTATGAATATAATTTTGAAAAGTTCCTTTTTTCTATCTCGTAAAAATTGGTTTTACAATATCAATATCATTACGAGTGTCATGTTTTTACGTGAATAAAAAAAGTATTATCTGAATTCCGCTAGCTCCAATAAAAAAATAAAAAAAACAATTTTTGGAACATGTTTCTTTATTCAAATTCTTGGAATTTTCGATTTTCGGGATTATTTTTTTAAACAAAATTGTTGCATAAATTTTAGGGTAAGTTACAACCATCTCCCTATAGTAAAGTATAACTATAAAAAAGTCCTTTTTTTTTTTGAGAAAATACATTCGGACCCTTGAAGTTTGTAAATTTCTTACACTCACCTCCTATAAAAAGGTGTCAAATGTCAGTTAGGGGTGAACAAATCGCATCCATTCCGTTGAACCCGAGAAAAACCGTCTTGTGGGGACTGGAAGGATAGTTCCATCAATATGATTGAGTCCTAAAATGAAGAAAATTCGCTGGTTTGGATCTAAAACAGGTTCAAATATCTTTTAATACATGCGAAACTGGTCACGCCCCGCCATACAAAATGACGCCATTTTTTTTATATTAAGTAGCATAATAAATTAATAATCTATCTTTAACACCAACATCGTCTCTTTTTGTCTATAATTATCCATTTTAGTTTAAATCTTGTCTTATAAACTTTGAGTTTAGTAACTCTTTTTAATAGATTTATGGTTAATACTTGTATTAAATTTGATGAACTCTTGACATTTATCATCGATATTGTTCATGTTGGTTTCAGTTTAAGATTTTACATTTAACCATTCATATTAATATCTAAACATTTTCGCATAAAACTTAACAAGTTATTAAAAACAAAAACACGTTTAAATGATAACGAGTTTCAATCAGTGAATGTTGTGTTCTACTACAAACCCGTCGGTTTCTTCAAATCAAGAACCATTATTCGACAGAACGATGGTGAATTTTGCTAGAACCCACGGGTTTATGACACACCCACACATACCCCTAGTGTGAATGTATAAGAAATCTACAAATTGAAGGGGTGAATGTAATTATGGAAAAATGAGGGGAGTTTTTGTAATTACAGTAAACTATATGTACTGTAGCATAAAATAAACGGTCAAAATAGAAGGACTGTTTGTGAAGGGTGGGGATTTAAGTACAGACTGTAAAGAAAGTGTACAGCCCCGATTCATATGTTTCTGACTCACTAACGGTCCTACTCACAAACTCTCTTGCCATTTTCTACCCCAACATCTTAACGCCGTTAGTTGTCTGTCAGTTTCCTTCTTTCTTGGCGTCATCTCTCTCTCTCTGTCTTTATTTAATTTAATTCACCAATTTAATTGAGAAGTTATATCAATTAAATGTGGGAATATTGAAAGTTAATCAATTAATTGCTATTTATTTTTTTTAGTACTTGTATTTGATAGGTTTTTGTTTAAGCGAATTTCTTATAAATAATGAAATCCAGGAAGTAATACTAAATTATAATTATATTTTTTTTTCATTTTATAATTCCTATGTTCCATAGTATCTGTCTTTTTTGAGAATTTATTTTGTTCAATATTATCTGTCCCTTTACAATTTCAATGTTGCATTAATTGCTTATTTTTCAATTTTATCATTATTAACTCTGCAGCACTCTTCATGTTTAATTAATAAACAAGGGTATTTTGGTCCATCAATATATATTTTTCTAAAATCAAGACATATTTACTGAGATTCTTAAGATTTGTGCCAAGGTGAAAAACGACACCTATTTAGGAACGGAGGGAGTAATTCTTTGTATTTTTTTTAAACATAGTACGACTAACCATAAGAATACAATCAAATTTATATATCAAATTACGGAAAAACTCTTCGTTCGTTCAAACTTCAAACTTTGACGTAGAAAATGTAAAAATAATCATAAGCCAATTTATTTACATCCTTATACATTTAAACATCTATAAATTAATATAGTTAGAAGTTAGAACAAATAAAATTCTATTAATTCAGCAAAATATTAAAACTAACGAACTAATAATTTAATATACTTTTACAGAATCGGGATTGAAAAAAGTTATTATTTCAACTAAATTGTTACTCCCTCCGTCCCAATTTAAATGACGTTTTGGGTTATTACACACATATTAAGAAAATCAATAAATGTGTATAGATTATAGTGAAAAACATAGAAAAATACTAATATATCCTTGACATTAATTATTTTACAACTAACAAATCAGAAGTGAGAAAGGGTAAAATTAAAAATAATACAATTAATGATGCATTGAAAATCTAAAATGACAAATAATTTGGGACAAAAAACTCTTTAAAAAGACATATAATACGGGACAGAGGTAGTAATTTATATCTAGCATTAAAGGTAGATGGTCTTGAATAGGATAGAAAGACTTTTTAGTAATTAAATTGTAATTATCCCAAAATGGAAAAGCAAACAATTAATATCTGAATTAAATAAATGAAGAAAAACAATGTGGTGTCCCAATCAAAGTAGGTCAATTTTGTCTTCAATGATATTTTTTTCACACATTGATTGATTGTGCATTATTTTCCTTTACTCTAAATCTTGATGAATTTAAAGGTCAGTGGTTGAGACAAATTCAAGAAATATTTCACATTTGCTGAATTTATTTCGATTTTTCTTACAATAATTTTGAATTAAATTCAATTAATGGAAAAAAAAATAATAATAAAATCAACAATTGAATAAAATGGGTCTTTGTAATTGACCCAGATTCGAATCGATAGGATTTGACCCAATTTGAACAGTATCATACTGATGTGCCTAATTCTTAATTGGGTTTTTGGCCTAAAAGGCCAAATCAATCCAATTAATAATAAAAGCCCAATTATCACATCTACTAAAATTCAATAGGATTTTAGTTATAACATATTATCCCACATCGGATTTCTACAAGAAGTCTCCATATTTCATCACCTATAAATATGTGATTTAACTCATATAATAAGGGAAGCACTATTTAGGCAATTAATTAATATTATTTGCTTATATTGTGATAGTTTCCTGACTTGAGCGTCGGAGGACAAATCGCCGGGCCACCCCCGGCGTGTCACCTAGTGTTTTCAACTGTTTTGTAGGTTAACGAGTGGAGCGATCCCTTCGACTACCTCGGACGCGTGGCAAGGACTTTCGGCATTTCCGATATTGGGCTTGAAGATTCCCGGACTTAGAAGACCTGTGGGCTTCAAGACCATTGGGCTGACCCATCATTTTTGGAGCAGCATCATTTTGGCGCCGTCTGTGGGAAAGCAAACTAGATCACGTGTCATGACGAAGAGGATCAAGGCGATCCCAACCACTCGCCTCGAAGAGCGGAATAGTCATACAGCTTCCTCGATGAAGCGACGGAGTCTCAGAGCCGCCCCGAAGAGCGGAAGAGTCTTAGAGCCGCCCGCCTTGAGGAAGCGACGGAGTCTCAGAGCCGCCTCGAAGAGCGGAAGAGTGTTAGAGCCGCCTCGAGGAAGCGACAGAGTCTCAGAGCCGCCCCGAAGAGCGGAAGAGTCTTAGAGCCGCCCGCCTCAAGGAAGCGACGGAGTCTCAGAGCCGCCCCGAAGAGCGGAAGAGTCTTAGAGCCGCCCGCCTCGAGGAAGCGACGGAGTCTCAGAGCCGCCTCGAAGAGCGGAAGAGTCTTAGAGCCGCCTCGAGGAAGCGACGGAGTCTCAGAGCCGCCCCGAAGAGCGGAAGAGTCTTAGAGCTGCCCGCCTCGAGGAAGCGACGGAGTCTCAGAGCCGCCCCGAAGAGCGGAAGAGTCTTAGAGCCGCCTCGAGGAAGCGACGGAGTCTCAGAGCCGCCCCGAAGAGCGGAAGAGTCTTAGAGCCGCCCGCCTCGAGGAAGCGACGGAGTCTCAGAGCCGCCCCGAAGAG